AGAGAGAGAGGGAGGGAGGGAGTGAAGGAGGTGTATACTGTTTTCAGGAGTCGAGCTTAACAGTTTTACTCAAGTTTTTGTACATATTTGGAATCACAATGTTTTGTACGCCGGATCTTTTAATTTATCCAATAACTTTTAGCTCAAGATTGGCATGATTTAGAATTTTTGATCATATAAATTCCGAAAATCCGGGTTAATTTGGACGATATTTAATTTTATTTGATTCTGGATCACCTTAAAGTACTTCACCTTCATTTGTATTATTCTTTAATGATTCACTTTTCAGTTGTGTAAAGATGAGTTTGAACGTGTCATGTCAAGTGGTCATCCGGAGCATTTCCTACGGAAACCAGGTGAAAAGTATTCCCGAAAAGAGCTTATTCATGCTTGGGCAGTTTATTTAAAAAAGGAGGTAGGTCTTTATAGTATCTTTCTAATCTTCTAAATATACAGATTTATTATTATAAATATTTAGTACAGCATTTCCGTTCATCTGTATTGTTAGGCTATCTTCATCCTTCTTTTCTTTCAAATAGTCTCAAGAGTTCGGTTTCGATAATTTCTCCAGCTCATTGTGCGGTTTTTTGAAAAAATAAGCAGCATATCAACTGATCTTTGATAGCCGTGTTATATCTATCTATCTATATATATATGTATATATATACATATATATATATATATATAAATGGAAGAACGGAAATGATAAAACTAATATCATAAATGTTAGTTTAAATATGTACTTTAGATAGTTTCTCTTCTTCATTTCTACAGTGGAGAAGTAATAGAAATTATCAATTTAGAAGTTTAAAAAGCATATCACTCTTGGGAGCTAGGCTATTGCTTATTTCAACAATTCATGAATGTGCCATGTTATTTTGGTATTGCAGTTGAAAATCAAGAAAGCACAAGAGGAAGAGTTGCTTTTGGTGAAATTACGTCAGAAAGCAGGTCTTTTTAATCGTTTATTCTCATCTGATAGTGATTTAACGGATAAGGAAATAGAAAAATTGCTGGAGGAAGCTCGTGAAGAAGATAGCGCGGTATGTCTTTGTTATTAATGATACAACCAAGTCCTGTTTGTTCAAGATAAACAATTTTCCAACTCTGCTTAACAAGATTCAATCCTTTATGATGGTGGTTCTTATGTTGAAAAAGTCCTCATCTTTTATTTAGGTATAAAAAAATACCGAAGGGAAGGGGTGGAGTCGTGCAATCTTATGACAAATGAAAATTTATGATTTGGCAGCAAAAATGCGACTGGATGAAAATGCTACTGGTGTTCTCGAAAGTGTAATATGTAAATTAGAACTGTTTTTATCCAGTTTAGCCTTGGAATTCTTCTGGAAAGTTTCTGAAATCCCACAACTCATTGTAAGTTCTTTCTAGCGTGATCAAGAAATTGTCCGAAAGGAAATTGAAATTGGTACGAAAAATTTAAAAGAATATCTAAACCTTCACGAAACAAATGTAAGTTGCTTTTATTGTATTTAGTTAGAATGCTTGGGAGGAGATCAGTGGTTTCTTTGTTGAAATGAAAATTCCATGAGATTTCAGCCAATTAAATATCCACAGTTGAAGATCATCATACCACCATCTCATCCACTCCAGACGTCCGCCAATGAGGCACCATTTTCTCCAATTAAGCCGCTTTTCGAAGGCCTTACCTTTGAACCACAGATAACTTCGCAGACAAAGACACCGCCTGTTGCAAATACCACTTCTGGCTCTCCCTTATCCAGGAAGGTTAGCAGTCCACAACATCAAACTGCTCCGTTGGAAATGTTGGCTAACGAAACTTTAGATAGTGCAGAAAGACTATCATCAACTCAAGGAAGATTACGAACATTGTCAGTTAGCTCACGGACACAAGTATCGGTCGAAAATAATGCACTGTCGTGTCAAGCCGGTGAGCATTTCAATTCTCTTCAAGTTTAATTAGTATTTGAATCCATTACGAAACAATTCAAAATTCTTCAAGCTCTATTATGAATACTATTAGAGGCGGTAGTGGAAACATTTGCCAATGATAAATGCTGCGCTATTATTTTGGCAACAGAGAAGCAAACTAGTACGAATTGAAGAAAAATCTTTCCATGCCCTTTGGCTATCATACTCTTTCTTCTTAGTTAGCTTTCCAATCGTTTTCAATATCTTCATATTCAGAACTAGCTGAAAATTCGGAAAACTTCACATCGCAGTCGCTATCGAGCGAGTTAATCCTGAAGTCACCTTCGAAAATCAGTGTTGACGAAATTCAAACTGCTGCATCGGAAACACCAGATGAGGTTTATTCTCTTTAAATTAGCTGCTTTTTGGATGTTGCGGTTAACTGATGTGCGTAGTCTTCTATCCTTTGTTTTTTCGAAGTCAGCTATAACGTTAGTCGGTTTGAATTTCCGAATATTTTTTTAGATGTTATTTGTTATTACTATGATTTTTACAGTTCGCTTTTTCCAGGTTAAACTCCCTTATGTTACTATTAAAAATGAACTAGAGGAAGGATTCAGTCCAGTGATGGAGGAGGTAGTTGAAAAGAAAGAAACGGTATTATTTGTTCTTTAAATTTCATATATATCCTTTATATGAATATTTCTGGATTATGCCATGTAGTAAATCGCAAAACTAAATTCTAGATCAGAATTGTTGCATGCAACTTAAATAATGTTTTTCGAGTGACTCAGGTGCCATTGCTGAAGAAAACTTCATCTGTTGCACTTATTTAATCGATATTTTTTTTAGATGAAAACAAGACGAGCGCAAAAAATTGTTACACGATCATCGGGTGGCTCAAATAACATGGATGGTGAAATAACATCACCAGTGCAACATGAGCATTCCTTAAGTATACTTTTTCGAACTCACTAATCAAACTTAAATTATTTAGGCTTTTCATACTTTATACTTTTTCACATACCTGTATGTTCTTTAGTTGTCCCGCTGTTTTTTTTAGAAATTACTTTTATATGACTTTTATATGATGTATAGAGGATAAGTTTTTGTATCCCTATTTATAGGAAATCGTCGTTTTTCTGTTGCTTCCACCATTTCCCAGAAAAATACAAAGATATCCGGTTTTATCAGCAAAGAGGATAAAAGTGTTGCAGAAGAAGAGGAAGATGAAGGAAAATTACGGTTTGTTTAGTATTTAATGTTGCTAGATGATTGTCACCCAACTCAGTCGGTCGCAGCAGTGTTGTGATTTTTATCTGAAGTTGAGGAAGCAAAAATGATGACAACTAACGTATAAATTCTATGATTGGTTGAATACTGCAATTTTAATTGAAGAAAAATAACTATCTTTCATCAAAATATTTAATTCCAGACGATCGGAAAGATGTCATACGAAGACTAATGTTGAAACTAGTGCATCTGCTGTACCTGTACAAACGGGAAGGCGAAAACGAGCGGCGAAATTGGAAATTCTTGATAATAATGAGGAAGAAGCGAAGGCAACGCCTGCCAAACGACGGTATGAGATTATAATTTTTAGCATTTATGTTCGTCCCGATTACCAAAAATAAACGTGATTTATGGTTGATGGTATCCAGTAGAAGGAATGCAATCACCGGAAATGGTTTTTCGTTTCTTTTAATAAACATTTCTAGACGATTGTCCAGCAGAGATGTTGAGAATGCTGAAAGAAAGGATATTAAATATCGAATTGAAAGTAACATCGAGTTGCAGTCCAGTCCAGAACCTGAAAAAGAAGTTCAAGTTAGTGTAGCTTTCGTCTTTTTAAACCTTTTTTGTAAGATTAGTTCTGTGTCACTATTTGATTAGCATTCTTGTTTGTTGATGCCTTCCTTTTTTTGACCATATTTTATACATTGTTTCTATATACTTTATCTATTTCTTTTTCAAATCTTTACAATTTTCCCCATATTCTAAGTAATGACAATATACTTTAAGGAAAAACATGTTGTGGAGGGAGAATCGGATGATGATAAAAAGCTCGTCGATTTGCGCACACGAAGTAGAACATTAAAAGTAGCTGTCGCTACTAGTGAGAAAGCGAAAGAAAAAGCAGGTACCATTTTGATTTCGATATTAAAAATCTTCTTTTCTTGAAATTTCTATTGAGATTATCGAGATGAAATATTGAAGTTCTAGTAGAAAGATTGGATACTAAAGGTTTTTATCATAATTTCGTACCATAATTCGTCATATAAAGCGATATCCCGAACATTCTCTTCGTTTTTTTTAGGACCATCTTCAGAAATTTCTTCAATTCGATCGCCGAAAAGAAATACAGTCGTGACACGTTCAAGCCGTCGACAAACAAGAAGAGTATGGTTTTCGTGGTACTTGAGATATGATTTGTGTACAATCTAAGAAATACTCTGGTTCTTAATTGTTCTTCCTTTCCAATGATTAGCAGCTAGACCAAAACGAACTATTTGGCGCAAGAGTGATTTTAATTAATCGAGAATTAACCGACATAATTGTGCTGCTATTATTTTAGAAAGAATCATATTCTTAAGTTGCTGAATATTAAATATAATTCTTTACAATTTATCTGGATGGTACCTCAACTATTCGATGAGAAATGACGTAGTTTGGATTGTTAACTCTTAATTCACTTACGACCAAAATTTACATTATATTGTGCGACTGATTAGACTGCTTGGTCCTTTTTTTTTTGCGTGAAGCGATCACTGTGACTGGATAATGCATAAGCATATCATACACTTCTGTCACTTTTTCTTTTTCATTTGCAACTATATGTCCATTGAATTTGCCGGGATTATCGCTTTACTTGTTGAGCGTAAGCATTCTCAGAGGCTATTAAATCATAATTACCATAGCTAATAAATTATACTGTCATGCTAATCACTAGTATCATTTATTCGTAAGAATAATGAATAATATGTTTAAGGGTGGTTCGACTGATGGCGATATAGAACAAAAAGCTCTTATGGTTACTGCATGGCGAATGGTGTCCAGTCATCGGCATGCTGCCATTTTCGCTCATCCTGTATCCGATCGAGATGCTCGAGGATACTCAAAAATCGTTAAGAGGTACTTTTATTCCTGCTAATAAAGCAATGTAATTTCTTGATTATGTACATAAGAAAGTATTTTATTAACATTTTTTCGAATTCTAAATTTCAAATCTCACGCTGTTCTGCCAGTTTTTATTACTCACTCTTATCAATCGATTAGGTATATTAATCTGTATCACACCAGTGATACTGCTGTTGGCATAATTATCGAAAAAGATTGAATTCGAAACATTAATCATTAAAGCATTTCTTCCAATTTGTCCGCTGGTTAGGCAGTTGCCATTATAAGTATAAATTTCTGATTTTAAAAACATTTTTCTAAAAGGAAAGGTTCCAGTCGTATGGACTTGAGCACATTAAAAAAACAGCTAGATGGTGGTAGTCTGTCAGGAATGAATGACTTCAAACGAAATGTTCTGCTGATGTTTGCGAATGCGGTGATGTTTAACAGTACCGGTCATGATGTAAACCACTATGCGAAAGAAATGGCCGCTGATACGCTGAGCTCACTTAAGGTACTTTGTTTTCCTTGATTTTTACTGGTAAAATCATTGTGCAGTAGATCGATACCAATCTTATCACCCGGTCTGTTGCCATATGGTCGCTTATAATTGTAGTTTTATCCCTTGCAACTTCCCAATAATACGACTTATATTCCAATTCCTACAATATCCTTTTTTGGTCCTTATTGTTTAGCAATATATTAGACCTAATATTTAGGCATTTAGACTTTTTCCTTCTTTACAGATGCTTCAGAAAGATGTATTATTTGTTCGGGGTATCACACATATGACTCGAAGGACTGCTGCCTTTGCGGCAGAAGAGGTTTATATTCGTTCTTTTCCATTAATTCCCTCATGGTTTCATGATTTCGGTCATCTGAATTTAAAAATCAATAATCTAAACATATTCCATATAGATTCATTCACGATTTCATAATTTTCTTTACTTTTAAAGTCGATTCATATTCGAAATTTATAAAATTTCACATCTCGAAATTAAAATCATCGGAATTTACAGGCTAAATTTGAACGCTCAAGATTTTCAAGTCCACGTGTCACTCCTGTGAATTCAGAAGAGCCTGGCAAGGAGAAAACATCTGACAATGCTTCACGAGAAACTAGTGAGACTCCGAAACCGCGTGGCGGACGAACCTCTAAAGAATGATTTTATCGCTTCTTAATTTCCCATTCCTATGATTGTAAGTTAGCTTTCATTTGTATTTTTTAACTTTCCCTTTATAATGATGACCACTGTTAGTGGCATTTTCATGTAACTGTCCAGTAATTCTTGCTAAGCAAAATGAGATGTTATTCTTCCTAACTTTTTACTTTCAAGCACGTACTTCTTTTCCTTTATCTACCTTACCTTCTCACTTACTTTTTGGTCTCTTATCCTCTTTAAGCTTCTAGTTTCTCTTGGAAATACTTTCTTCCATTTTCTCTTGCAAATACTGACAAGAGCAGTTAGTTTTTTACCCTTTATAGTTTACAATTTTTATCCCAGATATAAACGAAATATCATGACACTTTTGATTGAAAATTAGAATATCGTTTTGTGAGATGTGTTGTATTGTTTGTCATTCAGATTTTTCTTCCCCGTTCATACGAGGGACATAAATTTCCGATTCATTGATCTTATTTTATGAAATGTTTTAATTTCCGATATCGTTAGCTGTACTGAACACTGAAATTCGTGTTCGTTAAAAAATGTAATAAATGATTCACGTGGAAGTAAAATGCAATTCACAAAACATGCGTTAAGTTTCAAAAAGTGATATATCAATGAGATTTGATGTGAAGTTCTTTACTGCTTCGAAGAAATTATTCATCAATTCTTTTTTGGATGCGACTAAGCGGTTGTTTGTTTCTACTCCTTCAGGTTTGCTGAATTACTAATTGTTGCAACACAAAAGTAGACTTTCATTACAGACAAAAACAAATCAATTTGTGTGAAAATTCAGAAAATTGCATTACTGAATTTACGAATGGTACCGAAGCGCAAAGATTGTTGGTTAACGTTTAATGTATTTTAGGGGTGTATTTCTAGTTTAATTCTTTTCTTCCTATTGAAGATTCTTCAATTATTTACTATTATCAATGCTGCAATTGGCGAGACAGTGCGAATCCAAGGAGTACTGGCATGTGGTGGTACATCTGTGGTAGGCGCACGACTGAAACTTTATGATGGAGGTGCATATTAAATGGGTGCTACATCTTCTACGTGGTGAAAATTGCTTGACATGAAAAATTTATTGCATTATGTACTTGTCTGATGGTTAATTGAATAATTATTTGGAGTTGTTCTCGTGTTCAGATAGGTCTGAAGCAGCAGGTGAACCAGGTTTTTAAATCCGAAGGAGTAGCCTTTTTTTGGTAAAAAAGATGTGTTAATTGAGACGTACGTAGTATGCATATATATATATATATATATATATATATATATATATATATATATATATTAT